CAATCCGTTGATTACTTCGACATGTTAGCGAATTCAAACTTCTTACTTTTACTGCCTGTGGCAGGGGAAAGTTTTCAATGAATTTTTTGAGTTTGTACCGAACCTCCATGTCGCTCCGCTCGTCTCAAAGCACAGAACAATATCATTTTGGCATTGATTGATTTCCCATTGAATTTTTATTTCTTTCTTAGCAATAAACCATCAATTGTGATCAACGATGTCGTATCGACCACTCACAACAACATTTAGGACCTCACGGAGTTAAATGAGAAAATATGTGAGCTTTGTTTTAAAAGTACAGATAAGGTACACTACATTTTATGGAACTATTGTTTATATTTCATTGACGTCATACGTCAATTTTTCATTTGTTATTCATTCAACCAATATGGCCGCCGGCAATTTCTTTTTTTTCCCTCGTGGRAATGATCATGTGCAAGGAACTAGTTACCTTTTGAGTACGAAAATTACACCAAAACTACGCGAATTAGATATTGGTATAAATCAAGTCAGCATGGCTCAAAAATTGTTTTTATTTTCCAGACTGTTTTGTCTAATTACAGCTAAGATCATCGAATAGTTTAACTAAAAGTGTTTACCAAGAAGTTAAAATAAAAATAGCAGYTTACTATATCACTATCCAGACAGTTATGTTGTTGATACATAATTCTTGCGCAGAAATAAAGTCCAAAGCTTCAAAACATGATTGATGATCACTAACAAGACTATTTCTAGCATCCATATACACACTGTGGCCTGTGAGGTGACTCACAATGCACGTTCACCTTACTGTTAGGTATTCATTTTGAACCTCATGTTTCATGCACTCTGCTTTGAACTTCAGCAGCGTCATCAAATGAGATTTATTAGACATTTTGAAGGATTTCACGAGTTCAGTTTCATTTAATTTTACCAAAGCCTTCCCGTCGACTTTYTTCTCTGAGAARCTTTTGACGTACTTTTCCAAGCCAATGCTTTTTAAAAACTTAGAAACGTCTTTTTCTGACCAGTCGTTTATAGGTTTATCYGTATATTCTCTTTTCTTAGGAACATCGACATTTCGTCGATCTGCATTGACGCTTAATTTTGGCACCACATCGTACTTACGTGCAGAATGTTTTAAGTTTGAAGAAGCCTGATCAGGTTTACTTATCTCTGTGGGAAGAGGAGGTTTTGGCCTATTTTTTAACATTTCTAGTTCTGAGCCTGACACCTGTGATAGATTGGCATTTGATTKCAAAGCATTCTTCATCTTCCTCTCTTCTTGAACCATACTTTCTGTTACAACGTTTGACTTCATCGGGACATATAAACTGTCTTCTTCATCCAAAATTCGCGAACGACCAAAAGTGTTTGCACGCAACATAACAGGCTTCGTCTCTTGATTAAACGTTTCCTGGAACGCACTAAGAACCTCAATTCTTTGGTAAATTTCCTGGTTTGATCCAGCGAAATCGCTCTTCTGGCTTGGGGTCAAAAAACGTGGGAAAGTGTTCGAGTTTTTCCTGGCTGGCGTCGGTGTAAATCCGCTGTCAGACTTAGAGAGAGAAGAACTTTCAWATTCTGTTTCGGCCTTAGAGGTTAACGTCGATGTGTAATGGTGCTGGTCAAGTGTTTGCGTAATGGAAATTTTATKAATATAAGTTCGTTTTTTCGGGACTGGTTTTGGAGRTTCATRTTGCTTCGGTGATGGCGGCCCTTGATCTTCTTGAAATATGACCCAGTGGTTGTGCTCAATGCCAAGATTCCGCAGCATCTCTGGACCTATTTCATGGGCAATTCTATTGCAAAACTGTACATACTTTGAATTACTCCTTGTCGCTGCTGTTGGAACAAACACATCCAGGTGGCAGTCTTCAGGGACTGTGATTACATCMKGTTTATCTGGATRTGAGATTCTTTTACCGACAATATCGGCGTATYTCATAACGTCGTGGAGTTTGACACTTCCAACGATGTTATAAAGTCCCATCGGATATCGAGATGAACCGTCAACTTTTTTCATCTTCAACTTGTTATCAACAAACTTAACATGGACTGGAAGCTTACACTTACGTACAACTTCCGTCAGAAGGACATTTGGCTCAGTGAATTCTCCGAGCGTCTTGAAACGAACACCTTTGTGACTGAAAGGGATGTTTACTTCGACATCAGGCCTCCCTTGAACATTACATTGAAGATACATGCTTCCCCGTAACGAAATTTTCTGTCCCAGTTTCAAAACTTCACCTTTATTTATTCCAATATTTTYATCGTCTTCCTCGACGAGAACGTGGGTTGGAGAYGCTTCGTGAAGTTCCTCAACATGGTCGTAAAATGTCTTGTAACCTAACCAGCCGACTACTTCAACCTTGGCTGCAGAATCGAGAGGGATGTAGTATTCATTCATAAGCGAATCAGTCGCTCTAATGATGTCAATTTTCCTCGATGAGCTTAACACCAAAAGATCATTATCATGAAAGTCTTTCAGTTTTTCTAAACTCGGCGAAACACGTTTCACCTTAACGACTTGAGGAAGATGAAATAGCTCGTCCACAACTTTTTCCAGAGAATATGTGTCGGTACTCCATTCAATTTCACTTACAACCGGGTCCAACATGTTTGTAATTTATCGATTGAATTAGCTCAATTGTTTTCTTAATTCAAGTTTTTCCTGGTGCTTGTATACTTTAGAGAAAGATTTTGGTTGGTTAAGTAAAAGTTGTYATCTTTTTGATCAACGAGTCATCTGCCCTCCATGAATTTTCTCGATAACAACTTGGTCACATTATACGGAACTTAGTTGTTGGTTGAGTGCATTTTTGAGATGTTCTCGATTCGATCACTCCATAATCACTTGCAAATGAGAACGGAAGTTTACAAACATATCACGCCAGAGACATTACTGAAGCATGTGCATGCATATATACACGATGACAGTTTTGTGCTGTCTTCCCAGATATCAAAGYGTTTTATTGTTTTCAGGTGGTCTTTTATAGTCCACAGTTGAATACTGAGGGTATTATCATACTGAATTTACAGCACAAACTACCAAATGGAATTATATAATATAACAAAATAACTTTTGAATGATGATTTCTCTTACGACTTGAAAGATGAATCCAATGAAAAGGACTTTTGCATCAATTCAGTTACATGGTAGAAAATCCGCCATACTGGATGGCATTTAAGAATGTATTTGTTTACAAAACAAGCTGCGAGTGAACCAAGAAGAGACAATTTYGTTTTTGAAGCTGATTAACATSTTCTTGGTTGACAAAAGATTATTATAGTAGTACTCATATCCATAATAGTTGCAATCCAATATGGCGGATTTTGTATCACGTGACCAATTGATCCAAAAGGCCTACTGGTTAATGTAAAAGATATCAAATACACCTAATTGAGGAAACGTTGTCGGGTCCAAAAAGGTCAAATCATGGAAGCTAAGACCGAAAGGGTACTTGGGAAGACAAACAATTTTRCTAATTTATAACAAACAGCTCTCCAGCATAAAAGACTATCATGCTGTTAATCTTACTAGCTCTACTTGCTTAGTGTACACCGTATATGCAAATGTAATCCCAATTTAGTGGTACTCAAAATCACTATCGGTCTTAGCTTCTATGATGTAACCTTTTCGAACACGACTACGTTTTTTCAATTAGGTGTATATTTTAAAATAATTTGTTAATAATAACACCATTCCCCGCTCGTTCAACCAAACAGGAAGGTTGCCTAGCCTTCAGTCATGGTTTAGTGGTAATGGACTGCAGTATGATATTGGCCATCTCAGTCGAGATAAGATAGGAATGACGCAGCACTTAAAAAATCTGACAAAATAGTTCTAGTATTATCTGCATTAATCATCGTTTCTCTATTAAAAATTCTGGGTTTTTTTTCATTGAAAATACTGACCAAAGAAAGAAGTAATGGTGTTTGGAACTGCACGTGCGCGTATACTTGTAGTTCAGCCGCTCATTCTTCTCAAAAATACAKTTCTGAACAGAAATGCATTCATATTGTAGTTCAGATGCTATATATTACAAATAAATAACAATAAAACAAAGAGAAAAGATACGCTTATAAAAGCTGTCAGATTCCAAGCATATCATGCCTTTGGTCTGAAAATTCCTTCCTTGGCGAGACTTATAATCTTCTCTCGATCGTTGGTGTCTAACACATCAAGTTCAGTTAAAATATCCTCGTCGATATCAACAAACTGCTCACCATCGATATTCTCAGTTCGAAACTTATCCACGTACGACACGAGTCCGATCGCTTTCAAGCACTCGGATATTTCGTCAACCGAGAGGCTCTTGAGYTTGTGAGGTGAYTTCAAAAAATCATTGTCAACATCGTTGTTGTTTTCTATGGTTTCCCCTCGTTTTAAAGAGCTTCTCGGGCTTTTGGCAATTTGAATKACATCAAGACAATTTGTTCCTGTCCCAGTGAGTGAGYATTTGACAACTTCACATGGAATAYTTCTCTCTGRGTGGAYRTTTTCCTTGCATTTCAATCTTCTTTCAAACGAAGAAGTCTGACGAGGTTGCAATATCCTCAATTCCGTGACAGGATCTTCTTGTTTCTCCACATGATTGTCAAAATTCTTTGGATCAATGTCAATCACTGCTTCCATGATCAATCGACGTACGGCTAAGGAGCAACGTTTTGAAGCAAACGGTAAAAGTGTTGTAAACAAAAATAAAGGTACGTTGTTCGCAAGTGAATAGTTACAAGTGATAATATGACCGTCACACGCGTGATTGATCGACATGACACCGTTACGCTATTATTAGATCTGATATCAAACATGTACGTAAATAATGATATTAGTATCATTTCAATATAGGCAATGTACAGCGACGCCATTTTGTGCAGCAAAGCATGATGGTAGTTATAGTCCTCGCACTTTTTTATGTCCGCTATGACAGTCCTCCTAAGCAGTTTTTGCTTTTTCTAATTAACCTCTGATCATTTTACGTCATGTACCGTATAAGTAATGCATAGTAGGATATATTTGGGACAGAACATGGCGGATCTCTTTTGTTTTCTCTAGAAACTGATCCCACAATGCATTGAAAATCAACTTGTGATGTAAACGTTTCAGAAGTCTATTGAGAAGTATTTGTGCCATTTCTAAAAAGAAAATGTAAAAACTATTTTTAAGGAGATATTTTAGGGGCTATGAAAATTGCGGGGACTAGAACTACCATCATGCTTTGCTGCATAAAAAAGCGTCGCTGCATAATGCCTATTTATAGCAGTATTATTTGGAATGGTTTTCGAAAATCCGTGAAATACATTTTGATGATATCACGCTATTAATACACTTTGACTACTACACTTTATTTTACGAGTTTAGCGGAAATATACAT